ATTTAAGAATATCTTGATTTTCATATTTAATTGTCTTAATTTGACATTAACCTTAGGGTTGCATGGTCTTTACTACCGGACTTGCCCCTTAGAGGATGTAGAATCTACCCTGCCTTTGTCTTTGAAAGGTAACTGCTCCAGCTACTAATTACAGCCTGTATTGTTCTAGGGGGGCGTGATGAGGTTACTGTTCAGTTGCACTTAGTGGTTATCATGTGTCACACTGGTGGTCAGAAGGGAGCAGGCAAATGGGTGCTTCACAACTGTGTCCTTAGGTTCAGAACCACAATGGCCGTGTAAGACAGGGGAAGCCTCAGGATCCATCAGGTTCGCTGTTACAGCCTGAGGAGGGAGGCTGTGAATTTGAAACTGCACTCATTGAAAGGAAAATTCTTTCACATTTTCACAGCACCTTCCATGCCCCATAGCTGCGGGTACCACAGACCTTGCTGTTCCAAGCTTGTTAGAAAGGCAGACCTACTGAACGACAATCTGCATTATAACAATATCCCCACGTGATTGTCTGCAAAGTCAGGTTCGAGAAGCACTGTCCCAGCAGAATCTTAATACTCTGATGCTTCTCTCTTGCACCCTCCTTTTGAAAAATATACTTCTGTTCTTCCTTCTCTGTCTGTCCCGCCTTCCCTGAATATACTGCTTTAAAATAGTCTTCCTTTCTCTGATTTACACTCCTCATTCCATTCATTTTTCTCTCTCTCCACCTTTGCTTTCCTTTTTTTTTTTTTTTCCTTTTTGGTCAGTTTTCCTATAGCCTCCTCTTCTCTTATTTTAATTTTTTTTTTTGCCATTGCTCCTGCTGACCAATATCTAACTCCAGACCCAGTCATAATAATTCACTATCATAAACTTATTCAACATATCTCTGGCATTTATCTATGTAAATATTTGCACACACCTGTTTTCTTGTGCCCACTTTCTACCTTGTAAATTTCATATACACATGCATGCACATACACACATATATGTGAAGGACATGTCTCATCATTTGGAAGTATATCATGGTATTTGTTGTTTTTCAGTTGCTAAGTTATGTCGGACGCTTTGCAACCCCATGGATTGCCGCACACCAGGCTTCCCTGTCCTTTGCTGTCTTCCGAAGTTTGCTCAGATTCATGTCCGTTGAGTCGATGATGCTGTCTAACCATCTTATCCTCTGCCAGCCCCTTCTCCTTTTGCCTTCAAACTTTCCCAGCATCAGGGTCTTTTCCAATGAGTCAGCTCTTCAGTGGTCAAAGTATTAGAGCATCAGCTTCAACATCAGTCCTTCCAATGAATATTCAGGGTTGATGTCCCTTAGGGTTGACTGGTTGATCTCCTTTCAGACCAAGGGATTGTTAAGAATCTTCTCCAGCACCACAATTCAAAAGCAGCACTTCTGCACTCTGCCTTCTTTATGGTCCAATTCTCATATCCATACATGACTACTGGAAAAACCATAGCTTTGACTATATGGACCTTTGTTGTCAAAGTGATATCTTTGCTTTTTAATATGCTGTCTAGGTTTGTCATAGCTTTTTTTCTAAGAAGCAAGCATCTTTTAATTTCATGGCTGCAGTCACCATCCGCAGTGATTTGGGAGCCCAAGAAGAGAAAAATCTGTCCCTGCTTCTACTTTTTCACCTATTATTTGCCATGAAGTGATGAGACTGGATGCCATGATCTTTATTTTTTTAAAGCTGAGTTTCAAGCCAGCTTTTTAACTCTCTCCTTTCACCCTCATCAAGAGATTCTTTAGTTCCTCTTCACTTTCTGCCATTAGAGTAGCATCATCTGCATATCTGAGGTTATTTCTCCCGGCAATCTTGATTCCAGCTTGTGATTCATCCAGCCCAGCATTTTGCATGATGTACTCTGCATATAGTTAAATAAGCAGAATGACAACACACAGCCTTGTTCACCTTTCCCAATTTAGAACCAGTCAGTTGTTCCATGTCCAGATCTAACTGTTGCTTCTTGACCCACATACAGGTTTCTCAAGAGACAGGTAAGGCAGTTTGGTACTTCCATCTGTTTAAGAACTTTTCACAGTTTGTTGTGATCCAAACTGTCAAAGGCTTTAGCATAGTCAGTGAACCAGAAGTAGATGCTTTTCTGGAATTCCCTTTCTTTCTCTATGATCCAACAAATGTTGGCAGTTTGATCTCTGGTTCCTCTTCCTTTTCTAAGTCCTGGTTGTACATCTGGAAGTTCTCGGTTCATGTGCTGCTGAAGCCTCGCTTGAAGGATTTTGAGCGGAGTGACCCTGCTAGCGTGTGAAACACACACAGTTGTGCAGTAGTCTGAGCATTCTTTGGCAATGCCCTTCTTTGGGATTGGAATGAAAACTGACCTTTCCCAGTCCTGTGGCCACTGCTGAGTTTTCCAAACTTGCTGGCATACTGGGGGCTTCCCTGGTGGCTCAGACAGTAAAAAATCTGCCTGCAATGCAGGAGACCTGGGTTCGATCCCTGGGTCAGGAAGATCCCCTGGAGAAGGGAATGACTATCCACTCCAGTATTCTTGCCTGGAGAATTCCATAGCCAGAAAGATCCCCTGGAGAAGGGAATGACTATCCACTCCAGTATTCTTGCCTGGAGAATTCCATAGCCAGAAAGATCCCCTGGAGAAGGGAATGACTATCCACTCCAGTATTCTTGCCTGGAGAATTCCATAGCCAGAAGAGCCTGGCAGGCTACAGCCCATGGGGTCGCAAAGAATCTGACACGACTCATGACTGAGCAACTTTTTTTGAGTGCAGCACTTTAACAGCATCAACTTTTAGAATTTTAAATAGTGCAACTGGAATTCCATCACCCCCATTTGCTTACTTTTCACTTCAGGATGTCCAGCTCTAGGTGAGTGACCACACCATCATGATTATCCTGGTCATTAAGATTTTTTCTCTACAGTTCTTCTGTGTATTCATGTCACCTGTTCTTAATCTCTTCTGCTTCTGGGAGGTCCTTAGCATTTCTGTCCTTTATCATGCCCATCATTGCATGAAATGTTCCCTTTACATCTTGAAGAGATTTCTAATCTTTCCCATTCTATTGTTTTCCTCTATTTCTTTGCATTTTTCTCTTAAGTCCCTCCCCCCCCCTTTAAAAAAAATCTTCCCTTGTTATTCTCTGTAACTTTGCATTCATTTGGGTATATCTTTCCCTTTACCCTTGCCTTTCACTTTTCTTCTTTTCTCAGCTATTTTAAAGCCTCCTTAGATAACCATTTTGCCTTCTTGCATTTCTTTTTCTTTGGGATGGTTTTGGTCACTACCTCTTGTACAACGTTATGAACCTCCAACCATAGTTCTTCAGGCACTCTACCAGATCTAATACCTTGAATCTATTGATCACCTCTACCGTATAATCACAGGGATTTGATTTAGGTCATACCTGAATGATATAGTGGTTTTCCCTACTTTCTTCAGTTTAAGCCTGAATTTTGCAACGAGGTTCTCATGATTTGAGCCATAGTCAGCTCCCAGTCTTATTTTTGCTGACTGGATAGAGCTTCTCCATCTTCAGCAGCAAAGAACATAATCAATCTGATTTCATTATTGACCATTTGGTGATGTCCATCTGTAGAGCTGTCTCTTGGGTTGTTGGGAAAGAGTGTTTGCCATGACCAGCATGTTCTCTTGACAAATCTCTGTTAGCCTATGCCCTGCTTCATTTTGTACTCCAAGGTCAAACTTTGCCTGTTATTCCAGGTACCTCTTGGCTTTACTTTTACATTCCAATCCCCTATGATGAAAAGGACATTTTTTTTTTTTTGGTGTTACTTTCAGAAGGTGTTGTGAGTCTTCAGTCTTCACAGAACTGGTCAACTTCAGCTTCTTCAGCACCAGTGGTTGGGGAATAGACTTGGATTACTGTGATGTTGAATGGTTTGCTTTGGAAATGCACCAAGAGCATTCTGTCATTTTTGAGCTTGCACCCAAGTACTGCATTTCAGACTCTTTTGTTGACTATGAAGGCTACTCCATTTCTTCTAAGGGATTCTTGCCCACAGTAGTAGATATAATGGTCCTCTGTTGAAGTCACCCATTCTGGTCCATTTTAGTTCACGGATCCCTAAGATGTTGATGTTCAATCTTGCCATCTCCTGTCTGACCATGTTCAATTTACCTTGATTGGTGGACCTAACATTCCAGGTTCCTATGTAATATTTTCTTTACAGCATCAGAGTTTACTTTCACCACCAGACACATTCCACAACTGAGCATCATTTCTGCTTTGGCTCAGCCACTTCATTCTTTCTGAAGCTATTAGTAATTGCCCTCTGCTCTTCCCCAGTAGCATATTGGACACCTTCTGACCTGGGCAGATGGGGGGTGGGGAATATTTTGGTGTTGTATCTTTTTGCATTTTTGTATGGTTCACGGGTGGGCTTCCCTGGTGGCTCAGTGGTTTAGAATCTGCTCGCAGTGCAGGAGACTCAGGAGATGCAAGTTCCATTCCTGGCTCGGGAAGATCCCCTATAGAAGGAAATGGCAACCCACTCCAGTGTTCTTGCCGGGAGAATCCTGTGAACAGAGGAGCCTGGTGGGCCACAGTCCATAGGGTCGCAAAAAGTCCAACACTACTGGGTGATTGAACACACACGCACATTGTTCATGAGATTTCAGGCAAGAATACTGGAGTGGGCTGCCATTCCCTGCTGCAGGAGATCTTCCCCTACCCAGGGACCAAATCTGTGTCTTCTGAGTCTCCTGCATTGGCAGGCAGATTCTTTACCACTCAACCACCTTGGAAGTCCCAGTTGAGTCCATATCTTGGCTTATTTGCTGTATAACTCTGGATGAGCTAATTCATGGCTTCAGGGCTCAGAGGGTAATGAGAACAGCAGTACCCAATTCCTGGAGATACTGTGAAAGCAAAACAAATCATTTACATCAAGTGTTTACCAAGTGCCTGATAAAATAGTGGCTGTTTTATTCATGCTTTTGTTAATTAACTTTTCTGTTTTTCATGCCTCCTCTCTCTGTCTCCTCTTTTTAGCATGAGCCGCACAGCCTACACTGTGGGAGCCCTGCTTCTCCTCTTGGGGACCCTGCTGCCAGCTGCGGAGGGAAAAAAGAAGGGGTCCCAAGGGGCTATCCCCCCACCAGACAAGGCCCAGCACAATGACTCGGAGCAGACTCAGTCTCCCCAGCAGCCTGGCTCCAGGAACCGGGGGCGGGGCCAGGGGCGGGGCACCGCCATGCCCGGAGAGGAGGTGCTGGAGTCCAGCCAGGAGGCCCTGCATGTGACCGAGCGCAAATACCTGAAGCGAGACTGGTGCAAAACCCAGCCGCTGAAGCAGACGATTCACGAGGAGGGCTGCAACAGCCGCACCATCATCAACCGCTTCTGCTATGGCCAGTGCAACTCCTTCTACATCCCCAGGCACATCCGGAAGGAGGAGGGCTCCTTTCAGTCCTGCTCCTTTTGCAAGCCCAAGAAATTCACCACCATGATGGTCACGCTCAACTGTCCCGAACTCCAGCCGCCCACCAAGAAGAAGAGGGTCACGCGTGTCAAGCAGTGTCGTTGCATATCCATCGATTTGGATTAAAGCCAGGCACACCCAGCCTGTCCTTGGGATGCAGGCCTCAGGCGGGCCCAGAGACAGACCTCAATCAACTTGATTCTTACTTGGCTTAAACCTAGAGGCAAGAAGGACCACCAGCTGCCTCCTCCCAGGAGCCTGCTAGTGCGTAGTTTGTGTGCGTGAGTGTTCGTGGGTGCCTGTGGGTGTTTGCAGACACCAGAGGAAACACAGTCTCTGCTAGAGGGCACTTCCTAGTATGTAAATGTATCTGCTTCCTTGCGGGATGACACAGAAAACCCAAGCTACTACCCCAGGCACTTTGGGGGGAGGGGGCGGTGGGCAGGCTGTAGTCTGGGTCTGCCTCGGTCTTCCATGTGCCCTCCTGGGGACCAGATCCTCCTTTCCAAATGGATATTAATGGAGAGGCTTCTCCGAGGGCATGAGACCTGTTTTGTGCTGCCTTGGCCTTGGAAAAGATGTTTTACCCTGTGCTTCCCTCCTTCCTCTTCCCTCTCCCAGTCCATCCCCTCTTAGGATCTCAGTGACTATTTCCGTCCACCACCTTCCCTGTCAAGGATTCTAAAGCAACTTGCTTGACCATAGATGCAAATATTTCCTATTTGGGAAGACCTTTGAGGCTCTGGGGGAAGTTGATGGTGCAAGGACAAGAAGGATAGAGGGTTGAGAGAAGGGAGAGATTGCAGGTGAGGACCATTTGGTCCAGCAAAATTCAGGCGGGAGATGGGCAGGGTGTGGAAAGGCCAGCCTCCAAACACAGTGAGACTCTTGCTTTAGCAAATTTCCCCCTGATGTTTAAAGAAGAGAAATAGAATTGCCAAAAAATCATTAACTTTGGCAGTCACTGTGACCGTTGAAATTAACTGTAACTCAATACCAAACTTAAAGCATAAATATTGACCACTCCTATTTTCAGAACCAAGTGAGTGAAACCAAAACAGCCCCTCCTGCTTTGCCCCTCAGATGGACAAAAGATGTAATTCAGAAACTCCTACACAGGAATAGGAAAAAGACAAAAACCTCATAAACAGAAGGTCTTATTATCTGTCCTTTTGGCTGGGTTATCATCACCCTTTCCCCGGTTCAGTGTTTCTGTGTGGTGCTTCTGAGAACCACAACCCTGTAAGATGCTGTCTCTGCTGAGTGAGTGTACCTGGCAGTGAAGGACCCGGCTGAGATAAAAGAGTTTAGGGCCTGCTCCTTTCCACTCATTTGGGGTCTGTTTTAGCCATCGTTAGGAGATTGAGCTGGAGAGCAGAGCAGAGTAAGGCAAGGAAGGCAATTGCTTCTGGCTAATGAGTAGTTAAAAGGCAGGAGATGTAAGGGTATGACCTGTGTTTCTTCCTTCACCCTCTGAGGGTCTAAGGGAAACCCCAGTTAAGAAATCAGAGCATTTGTGTGCATTCGCTGTCCTACTGCTGGTAGGATTTATATAACATTATAGCCACTTGGAACCTACCGGTAGTTGCTGTTCTCTGATTAAACTTGGGTTATTTGCAATGCATATTTAGGATTTATCTAATGGCCAAAGTGCAGGGTGGGGAAACCTTCCTGCATTTTGGATTTGGCCAACCTGCTTTCTTCAAGCCTGAGGTTTTATTTGTAAACCACCCCACCCCCATACTCTTTTTGCCTTGCATCTTCTCAGTCTCACCAGCCAAGTCATGTGTAACATGGGAAACAAACACCATGGACTTGCATTTAGGTTGCCCATGAAGGCTCTAGCGTTCAAAGAATCATTGCAACTAAAGAGGCCGCTTTTATTTTATTTTTGTTTTGGTCCAGTGCTCTCCCCACTAACAACTAAATAGGAACCATACTTTGAAGCAGAAAGTCATCTTGTACACCCAAAATATTGAGTCTAATTTTAAAACGTTGAAACTCACTACTGATGATTCTGCACTAGGAGAATTTGTGCTAACACGCAGTCTGTGCATTTCACATACACTGTAGTCTCCTGCCCTAAATCCTTCTATCGTCCACATCCTCCAACAATAAAGCACAGAATGGATTTAATTAAGCATGCAAATACTAAGCTAGAATTTTGAGGGTGGGAGAGAAGAAAAGAAAGGAGAAGGAGCTGAAAATATACAACCACACTAGAGAGGAAAATGACATTCAGAACCAGCAGACACCAAATCTCTTTTGCTGTTTTAACTGCCACAAGCTTGCAATTTTGTTAAAAAGAGATGACTTAAGTTGGCAGCAGGAATCTTCTTTTAGTAGCTTGTACCACAGTTTTGCATGTAAGTTGGATTTGGCTTAAGTGAAGAGAATTTGCTCAAAATGAACTTCACTGGGATAATAAGCAACATAACTGCCCTAGAAGCACAGCACTACCCAAAGAAGATGTCTGCTTTTCTTTTTGTGCCTATATTAAAACTAGCCCAAGTCCCACGCATCTTCCAACATTTATTGAAAGTGCCATATCTGTTAATATTGTATTGGAGTCACTGATGATGTAATGATATGTTTTTTCATTACTATAGTAGAATTTTTATGGCAAGATATTTGTGATCTAGATCTTTCCTATTAAAATAATGCCAAACACCAAATATGAATTTTATGATGTACACTTTGTGCTTGGCATTAAAAGAGAAAAAACACACATCCTGCGTCTGTAAGTTGTTTTTTGTTATTGTAGTTCTGCAAAGTTAAAAATGTAAGCGAATAATCTGGAGGAAAGGATAATTTCCACTGTGTGGAATGTGAATAGTTAAACAAAAAGTTATGGTTATTTAATGTAATTATTAACTCAAATCCTTTGGTCACTGTGATTTCAAGCATGTTTTTTTTTTTCTCCTTTATATAACTTCCTCTGAGTTTAGCAAAGAAGAAGCTGGCACATTGTATGTTGTTGGAGGTTTTTATCAGGTCAGAGGGAAACAATAAAATCTTGACACATCTGAACGTGCTTATAGAGTCAAGACCTGAGCTTTTATTTTTATAATTGAATGTTCCTTAAAGGTTAACATTTCTGAGGCATCCTAAGAGAGATCTTAAATGTTATTTTGGAAGAATTAAATGTGCATATACTAATAGCAAATAATAATGAATTGTCCACAAGTCCTTTTATGGAGAAAATCTAAAATAAAAAAATGTATGTACAGAACATTTATAAATGACAAGTTAATGCTAAAGAGTGAAAGTAGTTCTACTGATTTGTCATTCTCAATATATTTAATATCAACTGCATTATGTATTATGTCTGCTTTAATCATTTGAAAAACAGAATTATGAAGACTATGATCAAGGTCCTTTGCTCTCTATGAGGATAAGGGGGGATTTGGTAGTCTCATAAAAGCTAATTTGGTTGAAAGCAAAGTTTTATGAATCTATAACTAGAATTTAACTTCACCCCAATAATGTTCTATATAACCTTTCCCAAAGAACAACCAATAAATTGAACTTCTTCTCTGTTTGTGTGTGTGTTTCACTGGTAGTGTTCACAGGATAGAGCTGGGGCAGGGATTCATTTGTCATGGGAAGTGAGCTAGAAAATAGATCATGAGATCTCTTGTGATCGGAAAAGAAAGGAATTTATTTCCTCCATTCACACTTTCCAGATCTCACTTGATATCAGGAGGACACCTCAGGCAATGGCAGTTAGAGGCAGGGGAAAGCTGGTGAACAGTAGAAAGTACCAACTTCTTCCCCAGAGCTAGAAAGAAGAGTTAAAATGCTTCTGAGAAGCCTTCAGATAGTGGAAGAATTGTTGAGCTGAAATGGTAATAGCTTTATTCTTGAGGTAGTCAAGGGAAAAAGGGGAGAAAGATTTGGGGCTCAGTAGAATAAGGAGCTCGCTAATGATGAGAGTGATTCAGCAATGCAATAAACTATCTTTGAGATAGTCAACTCCCTTGGAAATATTAAAACATATGCTTGATATCATTTGATAGAGATTTGAGGCATTGTGAATTATTGCCCTGGTTATGCAACTGAATGAGTGAATTTCTGAGGTCCCTTCCTACTTAGATGGGCAATACAGGATTGCTGCTATGTTTTGATGCTCTAACTGATAAAATGCCTATGCCAGACACTGTCAAGGATTTTATTTTAATTATTTTCCAACTTAATTTTCATAGTGACTCAACAATGTGTGTACCATTATGATTGCTGCTGGGAAATGGTGAATTCTTGTCTTACTACAGCACCTGTGCCCTTAAACACTATGGAAAATTGTGAGATTTTTTCAACTTACCAGTTCTTTTAAGGATAGACTGCAGCAATTTAAAAACAGATTCAGTCTTGACTATTTGCATCTAATGATCAAAGCCACCCTGAGGTTGTATTGGCATCATCATCCCAATGGCATCATCAGGAACTCCTGTTCTGAAGCATTCAAAGTCTCTTTGCCACCTCTTTTTGTCATGGCCTCCTTGGACTTAGAGGGGAAAAAAGGTGGCAAGTCTCAAAAAGACAGTGTCCTCAAAAAAATCACATGCACACCTAGGAGATAATATCTGGACAGGGATTGAAAAGGTAGTGGGACTGGAAAGAGAAATACGTTCTAGGTGTCAAAAAAAAGTATGTAATAGATCAGCAAAAAATGTTGGAGTGAGAGGCATTGAAAATTTTTTCCTCCATAAAATCTTTGGAAGTCTGCAAAAATAGAACGAGATATTTAGAACTCAGGAAATTTGCCTAAAGACTTGCAGCAGTCTGAGGAGTGCTTATTGAAGACAAAGGCTGAATATCCATAACAACAGTGAGCCTTGTCATATTGTAACTTTCCCTATTCTCATCTCCCTCTCCAGTTCCATAGAAGCCTTGAAACCAACAGCCTGCAATTACGGCAAGCACCAGCAGTCTGACAGTCACTGGGAGAGGTAGAATGGGATTTGAGTTCTTTGAAAGCCAAATACCCAGAGAATTGTAATTATTTGACTTGTCTGTCAGGCCCTGGAGGCCCCACTTGCAAAAGTATCTTTACTTGACCTAATTGGAAACTACCTAGTGTGAAAAACCCTGTTGAAAACAATTAGAGGCAATTGATTATTTTTGTG